TGTAAGAATATAAAAGAACTGGTTGAATTTCCATTGGAAATTTCATTTGGTAATAAATCCTGCAGGTTTAAAGTAAGTGACTGTGTAAAAAAAGTGCAACAGAAATATAGATATTTTCTTTTTGTTTTTTGTCTGAAGATCTGAAATGTCCATAAAAATCAAACAAGCGAGTGCTTAAGAACACGAGGGTTTCTGTCTGCTAGTCATGGAAAGACCCCTTTGTCTTGTTTGTCAAGGAAAGCAAGTTCAAGCCAGTTCAATGCGTCATGCAGTTTTGATAACGTATTTATCATGCAACATAACATCCTCATAACGTCAAGGGTCCTGAGTGAACACGTTCCTTTGGATCCCTGAGACATTTCATTCTATATCTTGCGGGCTGACTGCAGCGTTGTCTTTAAGAAAAAAAATACAAATCCAGTTTGTTTTTTTTATTTCTCACCCAATCACAATAATTTTTTTATGATAAACAATGCATAACTCGTACATATTAGGCGTCAAATGATTTTTTTCTGCTTATGGCATCGGTGTATTTCAGTTTGATTGGTGCTTCTCAATGAGAGAAGCAAGCCCAAATAAACCAAATGACATTTGTCAGAAGCCCAACAGAATCGTGATGACTTAACACTCCTGATGTTGTGAGGATGACAACATAAACATTTTCACATTTAGGCTTCCCTAAAAACAGTGAAATTTTCAACAAGTCTTGTAAGAAATCCGTCAGCCAAGAGCATTTCTAAAGGGCTCTTTTGTTCTTGGTATAGGAAATGTCCATATAACATGAAAAATTAACCATATATATTTGCTTAAATACGTATCCATTCATCTTTTAAAACACCAATTAGACAATAAATAGGTACAAAAAAATCATTTATTGCAAAATGTTTACAAACATTACAATGACATAAGACCCATGTACATGATTCGCTAATAGGTAATTTTTAAAAATTGAGGCAATATGTGTGAAAGTTTCAAAATGTGTGGCATGTGGGCAAACTCCTGAATTTCAAATTTACCACCACATTCTTGCGTTGCAATCTGCAAAACAACAATGTTAGGATGATAATTAATATTATATGAAGAAAATAATTTCATGGATTCATCAAAAAAATATTTGGACGATTATACAACTAAACACATTCTGGAACACTTTTGATACATGTATCTACTGTAATATAAACCATTCAGAGTATTTTTGAAAAGTAGGTTAAAGTTCAAATTAAAAAAAGGGGCCCTAATATTTTAAACAACGTCTTATGACAATCAGTGCACATGCTAAATATCATAGCCCAAACCCCTGAAATGTCGAAAATAGCGCAGGGGCCCCTTTATCCAGTTTGGTTCCCAGTCAATTTGTCCGGATATGTGAAGCATCCGGATATCTGAATCACCAGTTCAACAAGACAGAATAAAATTTTAAAATTTCGTTCCGATGAAAAATCGTCCGGATACTGAAGCATCCGGATATCTGGCGTCCGGATATCTGAAGGTCCACTGTATATCGGCATTAGGAACTGTTTTGAAAAGCAAATTAAGGACAAGTAAAAAGGTCACCAGGTTGGTAATTATGGTATGTTACAAATCCCATAGTGTGCAATACAATACCAAAACATCTTATCCATTTCTCTCACATGTACATTTCTCGAGTTATAAGGTGTGAAAGATGGACTGACAAGAGTAGGGTTAAGTGACCCCTAAGTGTGCTCTGCCTTATATATGATATTGAAATGGCACTTACTCTGAGAGACGTATTGGTACAACCCAAAAATCCCCCGGCAAGCCATCAAGGGGTAAGTAGGGAACTAAAAGTTCAACTGGTGTATAAGGCTTCAGAGTGTTGCATGCATCAACTACCTGCGTTACAATAGCCAATATAAAGTAACAAAAAACAAAAAATAGTTTTTATAAATTATAAATAATGTTATCTATTCGAATATAAGGGCTAAGAATAACTGAGAAAAATGTAATTGTTTTTATTCATACTCTATTTAGTTCCATGGCAAAGGTGGAGCCAATTTGAAAATTGGAAAATGTTGAAAGCATAATAAAGCTTGTGAATTTTCTTCAAGGTGAAGTTTTGTCGGGTTGTTCAAACCATCTTTGATTGAAAATATACAGGCAGAGTTTAAAATACACCTGCTAAGTTGAATCAATAAAAATATAAAAATGTACACATGTTCACACTTTTTTCGGCTTCACTTATATTGATCAAAAAAAGAAGAGGTTATAGTTAAATTGATAACAAAAATCAGGCATCACTTTTTCAAGATTTTTTTCGCAACAATATTAATATGCAAGCGACATTTTTTCCCATCTGTTTGAACAAATAGGTTTTGATAAACAGAGACACTAAAAGTTAAAAAACGAAGATGATGAAATTGTGCATAAAAATAAATTCGTTAGCCAAGGCCTTTTTGAGCAGAGATGTTTAACAACAAAACAATGTACCCTTTTTGCCTGGTTTCCAGTATTTTGAAATAGGAACAAAATCACACAAATCCCTGACAATTAAATTGGACGTAGAAATGCGTCTAGAACAGTTGGTATTGAATTCTGGGTAAAGTTGTTGAAATTTGCCCAGTTCTGTGACAGTGCGGATTTTAGAACATTCTGTTGATTGACCTATTCCAACAAACAGAAATTTATTATTTAGTTACTTGTCTTAATTCTAAACGATCAATTTTTTTAAAAAATAGAAGAAATCATACGTTGTGTGATTGCTAATTTTACATCTGGACTATTTATGAACCTGCCTAAGGTAGGAGACTGTTGGTGTTGAAGAACTAGATTTACTAGTAGTCGTAGAATGACTATTTGTTGTTTCTGTTGATGTGATAGTTGGTTTACTTGTGGTTGCTGTTGTTGTCGATGGTGAGTTTGTTGTTGTGGGTAGAGTGGTGGTTGTTGTTGTTGAAGGTAATGTGGTTGTTGTTGTGGATGTTGTCGTCGTAATAGTTGCTGTTGAAGGTTGTGTTGTAGCCTTTGTAGTCGTAGAAACTTAAGTAAAAGAAATATATGAGCTTTATTATCGTAAGGAATTTTTTTCATTCCATAAAGCTATTCAATTAAAAAGCCACACTGAAGAACAAACTATATCGAGGAGCTTTTAAGTCTCCTGAGAAGTTTCATATGACATTGAAATTCTTTACTATAGCATTTTTATGGATTAAATAATATAATGATTAACAAAAATGTGTTCAATACATAAAAACGTATTTATCGTAATTTAAAAAATGGAAATAGTTATCCCCTCTCCTTGAAAAAAGTTTCAAACATGGTTTTTATTATAATATCAAAATAATTTACTTAAACGAATATCAAATTCCCCAAAATTAACTGAAGTTCAAATAAATACTCTACCGGCGTGGCAAGAACATGGGTCTCCTTGATGGAATACAGAAACTGTTGTAGTATGAAAAATAAAAAAAAAACATGAATGATTATTCCAAAAGCAATAACAAATTTTGCGAAATGTCTGGATTGAAAATAATAATAATGCCTTCTGCTTAAGCACAAAAAGCTCTTAAATTCTAAAACAATTAAAATTAACAAAATGAAATCTCATTTATATATTTATTGTTTATTGACAAGTCGATCAACAAGTGTAATATTTAATTTGTGCAAGGTATTTAAAAATATTTATTATTTATCATTAACTGTTTGATCAAGATATCTAAGAAGCCAAATGAAATAAATTTGCTGACTGATTTGATGGAATGATACCTTTTTTAAAAATCCATCCCTCAGGCAAATCAAATTTTGCTCTCTCAAACCAATAAGCAGTTGAGATTACAAATATATGCAGAAGTTTCAACATTTTGAATTAGATTGAATGATGCCCTTTTTAGGTCACCTGAGTAAACTCAGGTGACCTATTGCTATCTGCTTTCGTCCGTCGTCGTGTGTCGTGCGTCGTCCGTCGTGCGTTAACATTTGAACATTTTCAGCTTCTTCTCTGCAACCACTGAACCAATTTCAACCAAATTTGGCATCTATGGGTGAAGGGGAACAAAAATTGTGAATTTCATGATCCCTGCCCCCCTGGGGCCTGAGGGGTGGGGCCAAAACCACTAAAATTAATGCAATCTTTAAAAATCTTCTTCTTTACTCCTGGACATCAAGCAGTCAAACTGTTTGCATGATTGTAATCAGCAATGAGTCCTCTACCAAAATTGTGAAATTCATGGCCCTGGGGTCAGGGGTTCTAGTGCTAGGGCGGGGCTAAATAAGTAGGTAGTGAAAATGCATTATTTCTTTGAAAATCTTCTTCTCTGCTCCTGGGTATTAAATAAACCAACTAAGTACATAGTTATGATGAGCAAGAGTGCCTCTACCAAAATTGTGAATTTTATTGCCCCAGGGTCAGGGGATCTGGTGTTAGGGCGGGGCTCTATTGATTATATATAGTGAAAATACATGATTTCTTTGAAAATCTTCTTCTCTGCTCCTAGGTATTAAATAAACTAACTAAGTGCATAGTTATGATGAGCAAGAGTGCTTTTACCAAAATTGTTAATTTTATGGTACCAGGGTCAGGGTTTCTGGTGTTAGGGCGGGGCTCTATTGATTATATAGTGAAAATACATGAATTCTTTGACAATCTTCTTCTCTGCTCCTGGGTATTAAATAAACTAAGTACATAGTTATGATGAGCAAGAGTGTCTCTACTAAAATTGTGAATTTTATGGCCCCAGGGTCAGGGGTTCTTGTTTTAGGGTGGGGCTGAAATAATTACATATAGTGAAATGCCTGAATTCTTTAAACATCTTATCCTTTCCCTCTGGTTAATATACTAATGATCTAATAACATATTAAAGGCCAGGGTTTATTTTATTTTCAGTATAACAAATCCTCCGCTCAAGGTTTTGAATTTTCAGAAAAAATATAAAAAGAATTCTTTCCGATGTCAAATTTGAGGCGAGATCGAGATTTCAAATTTACGAACTCGCACTTCCGGTTTTAAGATGAAACGGCGGGTAAATAAAGCTAGATCTGAGAAGATAGCTTGGTTTAGTGTAAAATTCATCGATACGAGTGCCATTCAAAACGTTTCACCCGTTCAAAGGACAAATAAAATGCTGACCACTTTGCTGCACAATGAAATGCTGGTGAGATAATTATGTATTCGTTTCAAAAGTATCTGTCTGTAAATTATTTTCCTCCCCCAGGTTTTAAACTGCTCGTGGTAGCTATTGCATATTGCCAGCGACATTGTTTAGGTCTCTGTTATAGCTTACAGTCTAAGCATCATTCTTCAGAAAAGGGTTGCTTATGCATCAGATGTAATGAATAAAACTATGGGAGAAGTTAAGTCCATTTGAGGAAGAAATAAACAATAACCTGAAGAAATATAAAAAAAATTCAACTATTAAAAGGCAAGAATATACAAATATATACAGGCATGTAGTATCATTTGTATCAGCCAGAAAAATTATTTTACACTTAATTGATAAAATGTTCACCCTACTCCCCAATACTCCGTCTGTTTTATGATAGGAATTATAATTTTAGGCATCAAGTAAATTTTAGAACAATGTCTACACATTCACCTAACATATATTAAAAAAAATAAAGATATATTGAAAGACTTTTAAAGAATTCATTTTTAAAAATATATTTTGACCAATATCACTAAATTTATATAACTGGCCCAAACTAGCAGATGGTGAAATAAGCAATTAAATGTTCTACTTTCCTATTTGTGAGCAATACTAAGCATTATTTGTCCAGTGGTAAGGAGCCTATTAGAATAGCATAAAATAAAATTGTACAAATGTTAATAATTGATTTATCAAAATTTTTTTTAGATTTCCTTCTCCATCGGGACTTTTTTATTCCCATGTTCATAACTAAACCTAAACATAAAAAAATGCTGGCCTTATAATGAAGAAAGGGGCCTCTTTCAAAATAGATAATTTCAGGGCCGCTGGGTCAGGGGTACCAGGGGGTACTTTGACTAAAAATAAATTAATGCTTTGAAATCTGCCCTTTGATAAGCAATGGTGCCTCCTTCAAAATTTGTGAATTTCATGGCTTTTGGATTAAAACACGAATCAAATACAATCACTGGAAAGTTGTTACATGATACTCAAGTGACCTATAAGGCCCGTGGGCTTCTTGTTATTTAATTTCATCACTAAAAAAATCAAATTTGCCCTAAGCAAACAAATAAGCAGTTTACAAATACAGATGTTTCGACATTTTCCCCCAAAAGGAGAGAAAAAAAATTAAATGATTTTAACAGTACAATCGATTGCAAATAAAAAGCAACCCAAACCACCTAATTTGATAATAATGTAGAAGTAGAAACCGTCCAGACAATTTGTAACAACTGGAGAGATATCACTTTATTCTCTATACCAAGCAAGAACTAGATAATTATGAAAAGAATTTAGAACACAACGATGGACAACAAGTAAAGAAAAGAACTTGCAGGCTTCAGAAAAAGAAAGAGCTGCTGTTATCAAATGTTTTAATAAAAAAACGTAATAGAACAATGCACAGAATTGCAAAGACAACTCATCATAAACTTCAATGACTTTTAGAAAGTTTCTGACATTATTCAAATAGACAGTTTATGGAAGATCCTAAGGCACTTTGGTATGCCATCTGAATTATTTGACCTAATGAAGGCATTTTATTCAGATTTTAAATGTTCTATTTGTAGCTTTTCAAATACAAGCCTTCTTTTGAAATCAGGAGTAAGACAAGGATGGTTGATGCTAGTCATACTATTTATCACAGCAGTAGACTGGGTAATAAATTAACGCACGGTGAAGATAGCATAGGGAAGATACTACAGGTGAAGACTTTTCAGTAATCTAGCAGATTTCGATTATGCAGATGACCTGGCTTTACTCTCTCATCTGGAAACACTTATGCAACGAAAAACGCCCAATTTACAAATAAATGCCAGCAAAATCAGTTTAAACATCAACAAAAAGAAAATTTAATTTAAGTTCTTATATACAAAAAGGCCAACGAACATACAACTATTAGAACATTTATAAGAACACATCATATTTCACATATCTAGGAAGTGTGGTGACATCAGGTAACGGTGCTGAGAGTGATATAATAGCAAGATTAAGTAGAGCAGGAAAAAAAGTCAACCAAAAACAACATGGGGGCGAAAAGTAAAAAAGAAATGACGAAAATGAATCATATCTGGGGAAAAGTTGAGAGGACTTCCAAGAAAAGAGAGGAAAGGGAATCCCTAGCCCTTGCACTATTTGCCATTGGGTGCAACAAGGACTAGATAGGTAGGTAGGGAGGTACAATGTAGAAACATCCTGTGGAATTCCTGCTCAAAATTAAAGAATGTGGTATGTGAAGGCTCTAGTGATTGCTTTGAAAAGTAGTCCAGCGATCCCATCAAGTACTAGTAAGCCCTTCTAATTCAGCATTTTGAAAACAAAGCCAATGCCTTTCTGCACTTTTCATTCAAAGCATGTACTATACAATTAGTGCTGTTCAATATCAGTATGAAAGTTTACCCATAAAAATAGTTTCAAATATCAAAGTGTCACTTCTAACATCAGAACTAATAATTATGCAATGGATCATTAGAATTTTACCATACAAATGGCTGATCAAGTTTTCCAAACAACGTACGCCCCGATCGTTGTGTTGTAAAATATTATTCAGTTCCCGCCATACTGAAATAAATAAGTTAGAAGAATTGGTCAGATTTCGTATATATGATCGATATTGTATGCAATGCATAAAAAGTTGCAATTTATATATGATAGGTAGATCTTCAAAGATACGTGAAACTTTATATTCTATACTGATGTACTAGTATTAAGTTATAAAGAATAAAGAAAAACGACATGAACATTAACACAAAAAGTTTGGAAACATACAGAGAAGCAAAACACTTAGATTATTTTCAAATTTGAAAGCCTCTGATTAATATAAGCTTTGTATAACAGAGCTTCAAAAATTTAAATCAATAAATTTCAAAAACAATACACCCATGAAAAATTTCATTAATTCCATTGAAATTTAAATTTACCGCTTGTATGAGAGTGGCAGATCTGAGCAGTCGGTCTAACAGCCTGTTGGTAGTCCAGTAGGTGTGCCAAAGCACCTAAAAATACCCCATATCAGTCAACACAATGCAAATATTCATACTACTCATACACAACAAACAAGGAATAAGCTTATCTCGATTATGAAGTAATTGTTAACAATCAGTTTAAGGTTCATAAACCCTGTGCTTACCCGTATAAAATGTTGCTTGAATCTTAATGATTTTCCAAAAGAAATGTCTTTTACAAGAGAAATACGAACAATTATAGCAAAGCTTGCGGGACAAAATTGGACAAAAAGACTTCAACTTGGCAAATCTATTCAGAAATAATAGACATTTAAATCATTAGGAGTAATCTCTCTTATCAGAGTATCGATGAAGGCTGATTTGTGAATTTTAGAGTAATAGTGTTCGTATTATGTAAGTAGACCGATGTAAATGATATTTTTTTTTCAAAATTTTGTATACTAGTATTAAAAAAAATACAAATTTTAAAGTCTTGAAATAGTGATTTATTGATTGAATGCATATTCTTTAACGTCCCTCTCGAGAATTTTTCACTCATGTGGAGATGCCACCACATGCCGGTGGAGAGTTCCAAATTATGTCCTATGCACGGCACTTAGGGCAGCGAGGGATCTTTTTCGTGTCAGCACCTACTGCGAAACGGGACCTCGGTTAATACGGTCTCATCCGAAGGAACAGTCTCCATGTCCCGCAATGGGATTCGAACCCGCGATGTAAGGATAAACTCTTCACCTCTTTACCTCGCGACTCTAGAGTAGACACTCTAACCACTGCACCACGCGGTCGACTTTTGAAATAGTGATTGTTTCCATTTTCAAATTCAGGTAATAGAGATGTTGTAATACATGTACCTCTATATGGAGAGCTATGTTGATATCTCACACAGTCCATAGTTGTGTAATCTGAAATCAAAGAAATTAAAATATAAGTAGTGAAATGATGAATATTAGTTTAAACTGACGAGCATTGATCTCTATCTGTTTAGTTTTAGTCTGTGTTTTGTTTATTTTCCGTTATAAATTATTGCTTGTTACCTTCTGACTCATGATAAAAATAAGTGGTTCATTGGGTCGGTAGGATGGAGGAAACACTTTTTTAAAAATTAAAAAAACTAACATGATGTTAAAATATTTATTAAGGCTATGAGAAAACTCAGAAATAAATAGAAAAAATAATTGTTTTCTGGAGGTTGAAAAAACTATTGAGTTGAGTCATTTAAAGTCAGTCTAGAGAGGCAAACTATTTTTGTTAAAAATCGCCTCGGTAATTTGCCTTTATTGTTACAATACAGTCTGATTTTGCTTTTTGACATTACCATTCTAGAGCTAATTTTAGGGCTGTATTATTATAGACTTTGCCTTATTAACGTACATATACATAATCTTACCTGTAAAACCCTCATAATGTAAATTAAATGCTTTAGTACAAGAGCACTTCTCATCCGTACCATTTGGAAAAAGAGCTGTAAGAAGAAAATGTAACAAGAACCCCAGGGGCCACATCTCTCACCTGAGCATTTTGGATAGGAAAAGCAGAAATCAGTACAGTATTGAAAAGTGTCAATATAAAAGAAGCCCGGGGGTTTGATTTGAGGACATTTGAATCTATACTCCCTAAGGATGTTTACGAATTAATATGACACTTATAATGGCTTTGCTACTCTTAAGATGGAAATTTCTATTGATATATCCTTTATATTTCCTTGTATAACTATATATATGGCCCCTCTTATGATCCCTCTATTAACCTGAAGGTTCATGATGTGAACAATATCTAAGGATGCTTTAATATGATTATCATCATACTTTTGTTCTTGAAAAGATTTTTCCTATGTATTATGAAAAACTTGAATCTATACTACCTGAGGATGCTTCCATATAAAAATGTCGAATCATGTCTTTGTTGTTCTTAAGAAGAAGATTTCTAAAGTGTTTTTCCTCGATGTAAAACTTTGATCACCTGTTGTGGCCTCACCCTATCCTCACTAGTCCTGATTTAAATAAACTTGAATGTATACACATTCCGAGAATGCCTCCTTGTTAATACACGTATGACCAATCACAGCTTTGTTGTTCTAGAGAATAAGATTTTTAAAGATTTTTCCTGATGAGTAGTAATTTTAGGCTCAAAAGTAATGAAGTGATTTATGATTAAATGTCCAGAGTTACAGGCATTTGGATGCACTGTCCAGACTATTCCAGCTATGTTGAAGTAATTAAGAGCAGAGTAATGTCTAGTGTGGTCAAGAATAAAAAGTCTTTAATGAGTGGAGCAATGGGAGCTATTGTTCGTAGAATCGGGAGCCGTGTATTGAGTTAAGGTCAAGCTAGGTTATGACAGTTTGATAAGGATTTGATAAAGATATATGTAGAGTTGGAGTTAGTTAATTAATAGGATGGAGCTAATGTTTTAGATAATCATCTATTGGAGCTAAGATTAGTATATAATAAGTGTGACATTTTTAGAAGGGGAGAGTGCTTTGCTAGGATTTAGACAGTACATATGCTAGCATAAATGTAACATCTTTCGTTTGTATTGTGCCTCCTCATTGTATATATGTAAATAAATTAGTACACTGTTTACTGACTTTTTATTGGATTTAGCATTACAAGGATTTATCAACCAAGGATATCTTAATTATAATTGGATATATACTCAGTGGAATTAAAAAGTTATAATTGCTCGGTCACCTCCGTGACATATTTTTGGTGTCAGAAGTGGGATTCCAGCATTCACTTGAACTGGAAGTCTATTAGAACCTGTGTCTTTTTAGCTCACCTGAGCCGAAGGCTCAAGTGAGCTTTTCTGATCACATTGTGTCCGTCGTCCGTCCGTCCGTCTGTCCGTCCGTCTGTCCGTCCGTAAACTTTTCACATTTTCGACTTCTTCTCAAGAACCACTGGGCCAATTTTGACCAAACTTGGTACAAAGCATGCTTGGGTTAAGGGGAATTTAAATTGTTAAAATGAAGGGCCAAATCCCTTCACAAGGGGAGATAATCAAGAAAAGACAAAAATAGGGTGGGGTCACTAAAAAATCTTCTTCTCAAGAACCACTGGGCCAGAAAAGCTGAAACTTATGTGGAAGCATCCTGGGGTAGTGTAGATTCTAAATTGTTCAAATCATGACCCCTGGGGATTGGGTGGGGCCACAATGGGGAATCAAAGTTTTACATAGAAATATATAGGAAAAATCTTTAAAAATCTTCTTCTCAAGAATCAGCTCAGTGGGCCAGAAAAGCTGAAACTTATGTGGAAGCATCCTGGGGTAGTGTAGATTCTAAATTGTTCAAATCATGACCCCCGGGGATTGGGCGGGGCCACAATGGGGAATCAAAGTTTTACATAGAAATATATAGGAAAAATCTTTGAAAATCTTCTTCTTAATAACCACTGGGCCAGAAAAACTGAAACTTATGTGAAAGTATCCTTGGGTAGTGTAGATTCTAAATTGTTCAAATCATGACCCCCGGGGATTGGGCGGGGCCACAATGGGGAATCAAAGTTTTACATAGAAATTTATAGGAAAAATCTTTAAAAATCTTCTTCTCAAGAACCACTGGGCCAGAAAAACTGAAACTTATGTGAAAGCATTCTTGGGTAGTGTAGATTCTAAATTGTTCAAATCATGACCCCAGGGGATTAGGCGGGGCCACAATGGGGAATCAAAGTTTTATATAGAAATATATAGGAAAAATCTTTAAAGAACCACTGGGCCAGAAAAGCTGAAACTTATGTGGAAGCATCCTGGGGTAGTGTAGATTTCAAATTGTCTAAATTATGATCAGTGGGGTAGGGTGGGGTCACAATATGTATTACAAGGGGGAAATCTAGTAAAGAACAGAATGGTCAAAGCTTCTCAGGTGAGCGATGTGGCCCATGGGCCTCTTGTTCAAAATTGGATTATTGTGTTTGTGCTTGAAAGAATTTAATATTCATTGGATTAATTTGTGAACATTCATTGGATTAATTTGTGAATTCTGTTAAAAATGGGAAGAAAAGGAAGACAAAGTAGTGTATCTCCGATTTCGTCACCTAGGATGTTCACCAGTCAGCGAGAAGCTACCGATAATAGAACAGAGTCAAAATCTCATGTTACACCATCCAAATTCTATGGAGATGTAGGAGATGATTTCGAGAGTTGGATCAAAACATTTGAAAGGATAAGTCGTGCTAACAAATGGAGAACTGAGAGGAAAATTGAAATGCTACCTGCATATTTGAGAGGCCGTGCAGCTGATTTTTATGAAGATTTAGATCAAGATGTCCAAGAGGATTTTGATAAGTTACTTGATCGCATGAAGGAGAGATTTTGTCCAAAAGAGTTGCAGAGAATGTATTACACAGAATTATTTCAAAGAAAACAGCTAGCTCGAGAAAATGTTGAAGATTATGGAAGTGCTATTTTGAAGTTGGCTAGACGTGCACATGGAGGAGTTTCTCTAGATGAACATGACAGGCTTGTCATGGAGCATTTCTTGCAAGGTGTACGTCCTGAGCTACGTCGTTATGTCATGATGGCAGATCCTCAAAGTTTTGAACAGGCTTTTAGAATTGCAAAAAGAGAAGAATGTAACGAGCAACTAATAATGAGTAGCCAACCAGAACCTGCTAAAGTCAACGTAGTTGCAAACGAAATGAAAGTTATTATGGATTCTTTTGAGAAGATGACAGGGAAGTTGGATAATATTGCAGGAAAGTTAGATGGTCTTAATTTTGCATCAATGAAACGTGTGGGACCTACTCGCCATGTTCCACCTCAAGGCAGTTATGAGTCAAGAAATCGTCAGATAAGACGTTGTTATAATTGTGGACGAAATAATCACCTTGCCAGAGAATATCGATTTTCAACAAGCACCCCAAGAAAATTTGTAAGGATTCCGCAGCGTACAGGTTTAAACTAAAACAGACCTCCTTAGGAGAGGGTAAGGCGGTCATCAGTGAAAAAGAAAATGCCTCTGACAAAAGGATTTTATGTAAAAACAGTGATGAAACAAAATGTGAAAAAAGAAAATGTGAAAATATTGTGAAAGTACCTTCTTTAGTTAAAGGTGATTACCAGGGAATACAAATAAAAGGGGAAATTTTGGAATTGATGCTGTTCTAATGCTGGATACAGGAGCCGTTGTTTCTTTGATCAGTGACAGATTTATTGGCCCAGAAATGAGAAATAAATTGACTTCGACAGACAGACGTATAGTATCAGCAACTGGTCAAGCTATTGATGTGATAGGCATTGTTGAGTGTGAAATTGAAGTTAACTGTGAATTTTTCAAACATAATGTCTACGTTGCAAGAAACCTTTGTTATGATGTGATTATTGGAACAGATATTTTGAAAAGTGTTGGTGCAGTTCTTGACATGGAGGATGGCTCAGTATATTGGAATGGAAATTATGTCAAGTTTTTGAGGGAAAATCGTAATGTTAGATGTTCTGTTCATTTGGCTGAAACAATTGAAATTCCTGAAAGATCCCAAGTAGTGTGTAATGCAAGAGTCAGTCCAGAATTTTATGGAAAAATTGGAATTGTGGAGCCTAAGAGCGATTTTATGGAGAAGTATAGTGTTATGCCAGCAAGAGTATTAAGCAGAGCGTGTGAATTGATGGCAGTTACAGTTGTAAATTCATCAAGTCAACCTGTGATTCTACATGAAAAAGTGAATATTGGAAGTTTCTGTGAAGTGTGTGAAATTCACGACAATGATGCAGTCAATGAAATACAAGAGAAAGAAAAGGAGAGAAGAGACATTTTGAAGGATCTAAATATAGATGTAGAAAAAATGTCCGAAGAACAGAAAAAGGAAGTCAGAAAATTATTTAGCGAATATCTTGATGTTTTCGCAAAGGATGATCATGATTTAGGAGAAACAAGTTTAGTCAATCATCAAATTGACACGGGAGATGCTCACCCTATAAAACAGCGACCTTATCCAATACCATTTGCACAGAAAGAAGAAGTAAGGAAACAGATTAAGAGTATGCTAGAAAAAGAAGTTATAAGACCTTCAAGTAGTCCATGGGGATCACCTGTAGTGTTGGTGAAGAAGTCCGATGGAAGTTATAGGTTTTGCATAGATTATAGACGAGTGAATGCAGTCACTAGGAAGGATGTGTATCCCTTGCCTAGAATAGATGAGATGTTAGAAGTTTTTCAGAAAGCGAAGTATTTTTCTGTCATGGATGTATTAACAGGTTATTGGAATGTACCTGTATGTGAAGAGGATAAAGAGAAAACTGCATTTGTAACGTCGGAAGGATTATATGAGTTTAATTGTCTCCCGTTTGGATTGTGCAATGGTCCTAGTACATTTCAGAGGTTAATGGATTTGGTTTTATCAGGAATACAGTGGAAAATGGCGTTGGCATATATTGATGATATCATAGTTTTCTCAAATACATTTGAAGAGCATATTGAAAGATTGGAGGAAGTATTCAGGAGATTAAAGGGAGCAAATTTAAGAT